CTTTGATTTTTCTGCAGAAGACGCAAAGAAGTACGGTCAGGCCCTTTGTAGACATGTTTATAAAGGTACCTCACAGCTTGGATGTAACCGCATATCTCCAAGTTGATATGTAATTCATCAGCATCAAGAGGAAGCTGTTATAAGGCACAATATGTCTGTTGTCAAAGCTTTACCTCCTATCTGCACAGGACGTCCGTCGTTCGGACGCTTATACTTCGGATACCCGTTAGTATTAATGACAGTTTCTTTTCGGAACCCTTTCGGAAAGTTTTTGGAGCACACTCCGTCGAGCATACGGTGAGCCGTTGGACATGTAGCTCCACACTGTCTGTGCACCATGTTGCTAGTGACGATGTCGAACAATCGTGGATTTGCAATTATCTACCCAGAGAGGCATGCCGCTATGTAATTTGCAGGGGACACGAGAGGTCATGAACTTTCAGCAACGGTGATTTGCACCCAATTTGCACCGAAGAAAGCAGATTTTGATTTTATTTTGGGATGTAATTGTATTAGGCTGTCCGGAAATTAATGCCCGTTTTGAATTTCAACCGCAATAAGTCATACACTTCTCATTTCTAAATAGGTTGCAAAGTAGCATTCGATAGAGCAAAGCAAGCTCTACAAGATGGCCTTCTTGCTTTTGTAACAGCTCTCACCCACCTCGAGTTTGGAGCCAAAAACTAAAAAGACTCAGCAGCCCGAAATATCGAAAAAAATCGTAACTCAGTTCATAAAAATCATACAAAAATTCTTACTTGCTCACGTAAACACTATCCACATAAAACATCTATATACGCCTTTGCCACATTTTTTTCTCTGTTAGAAATCAAGAAAACGAAAATTTTCATGCATTTGCCAAAGTGATGCTGTGCCGTTCCCACATAAGTAGTTCTAAACTACAGACCTGTAGAAGTACAAACGTGAATTCTCAGCTCTCTAAAAGCTTTAGCTCTTGAGAAATTTGAATTTTAGCTTTGACCACCTAACTAGGGAAGCTATATTCGGTATTTCTCGAGAACTAAAGCTTGTAAAGAGCTGAAAATTTGAGTCTGTACCTCTACGGGCTTGGGGTGTACAACTTCCTGCGTGGGGATGGCTCAGCATCACTTTGGCAAATGCACGAAAATTTCCGTTTTCTTGGTTTCTAACAGAGAAAAAAAATGCGGCAATGGCGTATATAGATGTTTCATGTGGATAGTGTTTACGTGAGCAAGTAAAAATTTTTGTAGGATTTTTATGAACTAAGTCACGATTTCTTTCGATTTTTAGGGCTGCTGAGTCTTTTTAGTTTTTGGCTCAAAACTCGAGGTGGGTGAGAGCTGTTGCAAAAGCAAGAAAGCCATTTTGTAGAGCTTGCTTTGCTCTATCGAATGGTACTTTGCAACCTATTTAGAAATGAGTAGTGTATGACTTATTGCGGTTGAAATTCAAAACGGGCATTGATTTCCGGACAACCTAATACAAA